AGCATCAAGTAGCTCAGAGACCAGAGCCGTCTGTTCTGTAGGCGAGGCAAAGGGTCAAGCAGTTTAGCGGCTCTGACAGCCAGGGAACAAAGTAAGCTGGTTCTTTTGATGGGGCAGCTGCGATTTCTTCGGGTAGCTTTCCAAAGGAACAGAATTGGGAATTTAGGTTGGCCTGGGTGAACTTGGATTGAAGCGGCTGCGTGATTGCCTCTTCATAAGCAAAACTCTCCAATTCTACTCTCTTCCTTTCGGTTATTTACTTATATTCCACTGCAATAGAATATAAAGCCAATACACCACAACAATACTGTCATTTTTTTAAATTTTATTTTATTTTTGGCTTTGTTTGAAGCTCTCTAGCTTGAAGATCTTCCCTCCCCCTTTCTATGTGGCTCAGCTACTCTGCAGCTTGTCATTGCCGCATTAGTAAGGCTCATATATAGCATCCCATTATTAATTGTCCAAGAAAAAAAGGGATAAGAGACGACTTGAGTTTGGGATGCAATTAAGTCATCACAAAGCTCGGGACACAGCTTCACCCACCTTCTCGTCAAGCCTGTTTGGCAGCATAGATTGTTTCTTATTGATGAAAAGGCAGCCGCGTTCCTTCAGCTGGGTCTGGGGAAGAGTAACCGGAAGTGCTGTCCCCGTGGAGCAGGTACTCCAGTATGTCTGCTTCAAGTTGTGATTGCTATCCTTGTGCTGATGCCTCTCTTGCTGCCTAGCTGAGTTGACTGTAGGACTCTGGGGGCAGCCATTGCACCCCACGTGGTATGTTCCTAACTCTCTCTGTGTCTCATGTAGCACATAAGGTGCCCTCTAGTTCAGTGCCTAGGAGGTGGTATAGTACCTCATGCCAATAAAATCTGGAATTTCACCCCCCCTGACATCCTGTCTCATTCAGTATCGGGTTATATCCTCATTTAATGTTGGATTAGACATTAGCACTAGTGTCTAATACTGTATTACAAGCTCTCTATTTTTATCATTATTAAATGCTCAACTGCATTCTCTAGACCGGAAGGGGACAATTTATGACCTTGAGACGGTGGATTGTAGCTCCATAACTGTTCAGATTGGCCTGCATTTTTGATTCATGCTCACCTTTATCCAAAAACCAGCCTATTCTCATCAAAAGATGAAACAATTTGTTAAAAATCTTAAGTGTTCAGATGAACATATGGATGTGATTGTAACGCTCTGGTCACAAACACAGGTTCGTGATCATCCACATTGTATAGCCATGCCTGTTTGGCAACATAGATTGTTTGGCAGCTGGAAAGCTGACAAGCTCAGTGTCTTTAAGTTGTATCTTGTATCTTTTCTGTATACTGAGAGCATTTGCACCAAGACAAATTCCTTGTGTGTCCAATCACACTTGGCCAATAAAGAATTCTATTCTATTCTAAAAATTTCACCACTGAGCCATCCTGCCGATGGGGTATGCTCCCGTTCCTTCCCTCAGTTCCTGCCCACCTACCAGTTCGAAAGCATGCAACCTGCGAGTAGATAAATAGGTACTACTTTGGAGGGAGGGTAACAGCGTTCCATGTGTCTCTGCATATAGTCATGGAAGCGTCTTCCGATAACGCTGCCTCTCTTGGCTAAGAAAGGGAGGTAAGCACGGCCCCTTGGAGTTGGGCATGACTGGACAAGGGAAACCTTTACCTTTTATGTACTTGTAAAGAACTAGAGAGAGAACACACTGAGAAGGGATCTGTGTACGTCTTCCATGTACACAGATCCCTTCTCAGTATGTTCTTTCTCTAATTCTGACTTTCGAGAGTTCAAGGAAGGTCAGAGGTGGGACACAGTTACTGGAGGAGGATGTTCAAATGAAGTGATCTCCCATTCTAAAACCTCATATTTCCAAAAAAAAAAAAAAAATGCAGAGAGGCTTCTAAACATATTGAAGTCATGGTACTCCCTAAAACTGAGATGGCCAGTCTTGAGTAAGCAGAAAACTACGGTCGTGAAATTTGCTATCCCTATTGCCAATACTAATCTTGCTTCTATTCCCAGCTGCTATATAACAGCGCCAAGTTAATTGCACTCTGTTGGCATTAAGCTGAGGTAATTTTGAGGCTGCCCTTAGAGGATGTAAGAATAAGACAACCTAAAGCTTTTTATAGAGGCTGGGAGTAAAATACAGTATCGCAGACACACAGTAGAAAAGAAATGTCATTGAGATATGTTTGTATTGTATCTAGGTCCAAGATGACAAAGGCCCTTAAAATCATACTGAAAGAGCTAAGATGCGCAGATATATAACAGCTTACTAGAACTGCATTTTAGGAAACCTATGATTGAGAATGAAAATGTGGCCAACCAGGAAGCTTTAGAGTCACTGCAACACTGAGATCGGTGTCTATGAAGAATCTCAGTCCTCTAGATCACGGTGAAATGATCTAGATCATCTAGATCAGCGGTCGCCAACAGGTGGGCCGTGGCCCACTGGTGGGCCGTGAGGAAATTTTGGTGGCCCGCAGAGAAATCTCACTCCCAGAGCACCCCCCCCCAAAGCAATTAATCCAGGCTATGCAGAAACACAAGGCTGCGCCATCCACATGGCCTGCGGGAACCCTCCCCGCCCACCCACTCCTTACCCGGCAAACTTGCCTGCTAAAATTGCTATTTTTCCTTTTTCCAACCATCATCTGTTCTGCTGCGCTGGGAGATTTAGATTAGCTAGGAATCAGGAAACGGTTGGATTTCTTGCTTTCTAGCTAGTCTTTAGATTTTCAGCTCTGCTTTTAAGCACAGACGAACTTCCCTTAGGACTGAAGGCTCTGTTATTCAGTGGAGACTCACGGCAAGCAAATTTGAGAGACTGAGCTACCCGATGGCAGATAGATAGATCACTGAATGATTCTGTGAGCAACTCAATCTGCCTGCCTGCTTTGCCTGATTTGGGGTAAAAGTTGCTCTTTTTTTAATAAAAAAATTCAATATTTACATACATGGTGTGTTGTGAGTTAATTTTGTGAGTTTGCTTGCTACAGGCATGATATTCTGCTCTGAAAAAAAAATCGGGGCCGGCCAAGAGACCCCCCGCCGCGCGCCCGGGGAGCGCCTGCTGCTTTCCCTCGCCAGGGCCGGGCGGCGGCGTGTTGCACGGAGGCTGGTCTGTGGCTGGCCCAGCTCCCTTTTCCTGCCGCTCAGCGGCCTCCGCTCGCACCGCCCGGGCTCCGCTCAGGTATCTGATTGGGGCTGTCAGGAGTTGCTACCGCCGGCGCAGCTCCACGCGGCTTCAGTCCCGCGTTGCCTCAGGAAGGGAAAGGCAAAACCAGGAGCCGCGGCTGCCGTTGCAAAGCGCCGCCGCGGCTCTTCCTTTTTGCCTTTCCCTTCCTGAGGCAACGTGGGACAGGAGCCGCGCGGAGCCGCGCCAGCAACTCCTGACTTGGGGCCTCCGGGGGGGGGGAAGGAGAAGAAGAAGGGGTGGGGGGAAAGGGGGGGGTTCCCAAAAAAATCGGAATTCCGATTTTAATCGGAAGAATATCATGCCTGTTGCTAGCAAATTTTATGTGACAGACTGAGCTAGCCAATGGCAGATAGGTAGATTTCTGAATGAATCTGTGATTCTGTGAGCAACTCAATCTGCCTGCCTGCTTTACCTGATTTTGGGTAAAAGTTGCTCTTTTTTAATAAAAAATTCAATATTTATATAAATATTTATAATATTTACATACAAGCCATGCCCAGCCAGTCACATGACCACCAAGCCACACCCACAAATTAGGCCACATCCACAGAACCGGTTAGTGGTCCCTGGGATTTAAAATTATGAGTTTGGTGGTCCCTGAAGTCCAAAAGGTTGGCAACCCCTGATCTAGATCATCAGAAGCTAAATGTCTTCAAAGAAAAACCAGAAAGTTCAGCTACCTCTTTGAAAAAGCACCTTTGGGACTGAGATGGGGGCATATAATTTAACAAATAAATGAATTAGAAAGCAGGCTACCAAGGTCCATCTTAAGCTTGAAGCCAACCTTGAAACTAATGGCTACTCGTTTTGGTTTTCACTTCTTTAAGGATTTGGACCCCAAACACTACATTCAAAATACAGCACAATTTCGGCTATACACAATTCATACCGAATAGCATATGAACTTATTACCAGCAATCATTAGACCTTAAATATAATAATCGAACAGATTAGATCATATTGTATCACCTTAATAATACCTCATAATTGTGGGTCTTGGGATTGGGTATATTTCTGTCACGGCACAAGCATGGATTACAAGATTTTGCTATTAATATCTCCTTAATTTCCAATTTAAAATTATAATGTTAAGGAGAGAAGAATCCAATATCTCAAAATAATGGTGGCCTACAAAAGTGTAATGCATTCCAAAGGTTATGAATACGGGACATTTTCCAACCAAGAGTCGGCTGAGTTAAAATGCAGTTTAAAAAGTGTGATTATTATCCATCTATTCAGTTGTCATACGAAAAGTTAAAAGTCATTAATTATAGATCTAGAAGAAAGTCATTTTTGAAGTCACTAATGATAGTTATTAGAAGAAGTTTCTCTTTCCCAAACTTTGATGATCATTCTTCTTGCCTGCTACCTTTCCTGAATGCTTTCCTTACCCAGTTCCCCTGCCCTAACATCTCTATTTCAATTGCTTGTTTAGAAATACAAGATGATGACATTATATGCTACAAATAAACTTCAACAAGCTGAACAAGCTTAATGGAAAGATTTTTTTTCAAAAAAACAGCAACAAAGCACACTTCCTTTGTTAGATAAATTATCCAAGGAAGTGCGCTTGAAAACATAATGCATAACACATAAAACTGACAGGACCCTTTCTGTTGACATTCATAGCAAATATTTTACCTTGGCAGAACTTGACCGTGAGCTACAAAATATTCTCCACTGTGGCAAAAACTCTGCAGTCCAGCAAGCTTGTATTTATTTTTCTCTCCCTTTTAGCATTTACAAAAGAGCATTTCATTTTCCTCAGTCAAATGAACAGAACCTATTGGATGTGCAATCAACAATTGTGCCAGTACAAACAGTCGGAAACTGTCAGTCGGGGTGGAAGAAGAAACGCAGAACGCTTAGAAACAGGTGCTGGAGTGACATCTTCTGCAGCCGTTGTGTTGTCTGTTGCCGTGACCTCGCTGGAGGCAGGAGCTGGAGGATCACTGGAGGCAGGAACAGTGGGCTCGGGATCTTTTGGTTTGGGATCCTTGGCCAATTGCTGCTCTTGGAGTATGCTTGGGTTAGGTTGAGGCAAACAGTAGCTGTGGTAGGTATGTTGGTAGGTGGTGCTGGGTGTGCGTTGTACAGGTTGCTTCTGAAAGTATTGTTCGGTTAAGAGCTGGGGAATCTTCCCTTTGGAGTGGAAATCGCACTGATAACTCGAGAGAAGGGGCCTGTCACGTTCTAATTCCTCTTTCAAGGGGACCCAGTCAATCAAGGACCGGGTATTGGGAAGACTCCCTTCTATTTTTCTTCTCCCTAAGCCCTGCCATAAAACAAGGAGAATCTGTTCAGACTTGCGTTGGTGAAACAAGTTGACCAATCCAAAAATAAAAAAGAAAGGATACCAGTTACCAAAGATGAAGATGGGTCAAGTTGTGGAGACCATGGAAAAGAGCCTCTACAACAGGGGTGGGCAACTACAGACTTCATAAGAGTTCATATAGTGACCAAAGTTACAAAGGCACCGAAAAAAATGGCTTCACACTTACAACAGCTGCAGCATGCTCATGGTCACGTGATCAGAATGGCAACTGTGTCAGTGTCCCCGGGGGTGTGTGTGTGTGTCACGTGATCACCTTTTGCGTCCTTCTCCCAGTGTCTGTGGAGATTCTCCGTCATCCAGGTCATGGTTGTCCCAAAGGCGCTTTTTCATGAGGCAAATGGACTTTCTGGTTTTCCATTGAAGATGTTTCACTTCCCATCCGAGAAGCTTCTCAGAGCAGCTCATCCTTGTGAGACGAAGACGTTTCTTGGATGAGAAGCGAAACGTCTTCAAAGAAAAACCAGAAAGTCTTGTGAAAAAGCACTTTTGGGGCAACCTGTCAAGCAAAGTCAAGGGAGAAGCCAGATTCACTTAACAACTGTGGCAAGAAAAGACGTAAAATGGGCAAAAACTGCTGCTTTTACAAGGACATCCAACTGGTGATAGCAGTTCCTGAGAGAATCCAAGAAGCTGCTGAAGAAAGGTTAGTGATGCAAGGATTTTTCAAGAAATAACCAAGCACTAAATTTACTGCTTTCTGTTTGCTACATAAGAAACATGAGATTTCCCCTTCTCCCTCCTTGTAAATATACTCACCTGCTCAAAACAGGTAGCTGATCCTGAGAAGGCATGTCGGTTGTCATGCTTGGAGAATATGTGCTTTGAAGGGGTTTCCTTAAAAAAAAAGAAAAGACATGATATTAGTCCCCTGCCAAATACACAGCCGACAATATTTGGTCGGGGATAGAATTCTACTGCAACCTGCAAAAATTAGACATTCAGGTTAGCAACCAAGATGTTGCCATGTATTCGCTTGGGCTGTGTGAGATACAGGTAGCCTTCTATGTTTCATGTCTCTGTTCGCTTCTCCATCTGTATAATACAGGTGGCCTTCAACTTTGAACAGTTCGTTTAGTGACCATTCAAAATGACAATGGCACTGAAAAGGGTGACATACAACTATTTTTCACAATTACGCCTTTGCAGCACTCCCATGATCATGTGATCAAAATCCAGACACTTGGCAACTGACTCCTTGTAAGGCATCCAGAAAGTATCCATGATATCAATCACTCCGAGATATTTTCTCTCCAATTGATTTATTTAGAAATAGATCTGGCATGTCAAAGGCAATTTCCCACAGTGAAATTATTTCCGCGCGTTACACAGAATCCACCTTCTCTCCTCCCACTTCTACACTTCATAAATCATGAGAACCAATTAACTGCAACTGGAATTTCTTAATACAACATACAGAATAACCTTGAACTTTTCAACTCCTCCACCCCCCCTTCCATGAAATGTGACAGCTGAATTTTTTTAAAGCTGACAGGCGTCCCCCTTTGAAAACTCCTCCTCCTAAAAGGAAAAAAAAACAGATACAGGGGTTAATAAATTGTCCTTAACCCCCTCTCCCCCCTCCACTAGGACCCTTCGGTTTGTGGGGAAAATCCTCATGGAATTGGTTAACCAATTGATCAGCATGAACATCCCAACTCTTTACCCAACTAGCATCTGAGAGAGGGTATTCTTTCCATAAGACCAAATATTGCAATCGGCCACGGTGTAATCTAGAATCGAGAATTTTTTGAATTTCATAATGTGTTTCCCCCTGTACCATTAACAGTTTAGGGGGAGCGATTGTCGGTGGTCTTATCATTGATGTAGTAGCTGGTTTTAGTAAACTACAATGGAATACTAGATGAATTTTCCCCAATAGTTGAGGAAGACGTAATTGGACAGTGACCGGATTGATTATCCTTGAAATTGGGAACGGACCCAAGAATTTTGGACCCAGCTTCTTACTGGGCAGTTTCAACCTAAGATACTTGGTCAACAAATATACTTTGTCCCCTACTTTAAAAGGCGGTTGAAGGGATCTATGTTTATCCGCCTGTTTTTTATAACTTTTTGCAGCTTCGGTCAAAGCATTTTTTGTATTTTCCCATCCTTTCTTTAATGAGTTCATCCATTCTCTCAGGGACATGGATGAGGGAGGTTGTCTAGGTAACTCTGGCATCAAGACAAAATCTATTCCAGTGTTGATTTGGAATGGAGTCAATCCCGTGCTGCTATGTACTGCATTATTGTAAGCAACCTCTGCAAAAGGTAATAACTCAGCCCAATTTTCTTGTTGATAATTTACATAGCATCTAATGTATTGTTCAATCATGGCATTAGCCCTCTCCGCTGCTCCGTTACAAGCAGGATGGAAAGCTGAGGATAACCCTTGAGAGGAACCAATGGATTTCAGAAATTCCCTCCAAAATTTTGCGGTAAATTGTACCCCTCTGTCTGATATTATTCTACGAGGTACTCCATGTAGTCTATAGATATGTTTCACGAACAGCTTTGCAAGTTTTTTCACAGATGGAAGTCCTTTGCAGGCTATAAAATGGGCCTGTTTAGAGAATAAGTCCATTATAGTCCAAATGATCGTATTCCCTTCAGTCTTAGGTAATTCAATAATAAAGTCCATTGCGATCTCTTCCCAAAGTTGGGTTAGTTCAGCAACTTGTTGCAGGAGGCCAGGGGTTTTTCCAGTTCTGTGTTTCATTGTGGCACAAATTGAGCAACTTTTTACATAGTCCTCGACATCAGGTTTCATTTTTGGCCACCAGAACTGTCTTCTGAGTAAATGTAGGGTTTTTAGGAATCCAAAGTGGCCTCCCAGCCGGGAGTCGTGGCTACACTTTAGTACCAGTAGTCTTAGGGTTGTGGGTACATAAAGCTTAGTCCCTTTCGAAGCAATTCAAAGGAGATAAAGTGAGGGAGTTCAATAACCAGTCATTTCAGTGTGCAAAGATGTCTGACTGCCTGGGCAGCATTTATTGCATTTTATAGGGTTTTTACAAGTAGACAAAGGCAACATAGATACAGCATTTGGATTGGTGAATCCCCTCAACCAATCCTTAAGAATAGTGGTGATGTTAATAGATCATTGTATAAGTCCGGGACTTACCAGCCTGAGTCAGGGAGTGAGATCATACAAAGAAGCCCATGTATATTAGGCACAGCAGTATGCTTCATGCGCCCTCTACAGGCTCTCTATTGCTACTACAATAAAGGTGAGTGCTTATCCTGAGGAACAGTTTGGGACGCATTACAGGCTGGGAATGAACGTAATTCCCAGCGTTGAAATAAAACAAGAGTTGTTTCAACTAAGCGTGTGCTTAATTACGGTCTCGGAAGCCTTGGTCAGAACACCTGGGGTCATGTGATTGCCTTTTGCAACCTTCTGGCACCAAGCAAAGTCAATGGGGGAAGCCAGATTCACTTAACAACCGAGTTACTGATTTATCAACTGCAGTGATTCAGTTAACAACTGTGGGAAGAAAGGTGGTAAAATGGGTCAAAACTCACTTAACAAATTTTTCACTTAGCAACATCAATTTTGGGCTCAATTGTGGTCGTAAGTTGAGGGCTACATGTACTGTGCAAGATTAAAACTTTCCTCAGAGTATAGTTCCTTTTGGAAAAACTACTAGATATTTACAATACTTTTATCCTATTTATTTTATAAGTGCTTAAGAGAAGCAGAAAACAAAAATGAGTTGACAAGTGCCACATGTGTTATTCCCTAAGCAACTGCAACACATTGGAATGCTTTAAACCAGCACCTTGCCTATTATACATGATACATATCTGTTGGTAACAAGGTCACACAAACACACTGAAATGAAATTCTGCTTAACAAGACAGCACATAGACACCATCAATGATTAATATTTGACCAATTCCTACACTTACATCAGACTGCAGGCACGACAGGCTAATAGAATTGAATTGATGGTCAAACTTTTGATTATCTAACTGTAAATCCATAGTGGTTTATTTTTTTCCCCCAAGTCCATTAACTTTTATGCTCCAAAATGTAAAAAAAAAAGATGAAATTGTTTCCTTTTGGAGTATTTAAATAATTTAAGGAGAAGCTTTCAAGAATCAAATCAAATCATTTTTGCTCTGTCTGCAACCTTCCCTTTTTAAGAAGTTTGTTGAGAAGGCTGTTGGGCTACAATTTGAGAAAGCTCTGCAGGAAACAGATTATTTGAGCACTTTCAGTTGTACTTCACCCAATTAATAGTGCAGGTGGTCCTTGACTTATGACCACAATGGAGCCCACCATTTTTGTTGCTAAGCAAGACAGTTCTTAAATGAATTTTGCCCCATTTTACAACTTTTCTTGTCACACAGTTCTTAAATGAATCACTGCAATTATTAAGTTAGTAACAGAGTTGTTAAGTGAACCTATCATCCATCCATCTATCATGGATGGATCTATCACCTACCTCTATTTATCTATCAGTCTATCATCTATCTCTAACAATCTCATCTATCTATCTCTATCTCTATCATCTATCAGTAACAATCTCTCTCTCTCTCATCTATCTATCTATCTATCTATCTATCTATCTATCTATCTATCTATCTATCTATCTATCATCTCTAACTCACATTTTCTTTCTCTCCCCTGAGTGTTGTGTAATGTGATGCTGGCTGCTTATAGTAGTATGAATTGATTGGCTATATAAATTAAATATATAAACAAACATACTGGTGCACAAGATGTACAGTAGCTATGCAAAGGCCCTCTTGGCCCCAGCTGCCACCTGCTCTCCAAGCAGTAGCGGGGAGTCCAGGAGGACCCACAGGTTGCACAAAACACTGGAAATATCACTGATCTGTGGGGCCAAACAGCCACAGCTACTCAATTGTGTCAGGGTTGAGCACAACCCATTCTTTCCCATCCAGACCTAAATAGCCTCCAGATACTACATCAGCAACTTGACAGCTTCATTTGTGCAGCCTGGATAGAGAGGTAAAGCTGGTATCATCAGCATAACTGATGCTATCAAATCCTGAACTGGGGGAGACCCCACCCTGCTGTTTCTGTAGATAAACAGGAAAGGGGAAAATATCAGACTTTGATATCCCAGTTATCTTTGAAAGATGATTGGCCCATATAAAATTAGTTAAATCCAATTTGACACAAACATTTCCAAGTGCTTGGTTTGAAGACAGATACTGTATGGATACAAATTTTGGTTTCTTTCCTAACAATCATTACCACACAATGAAATGTTACAGTATTTTCTATTGAGTGACAGGCAGTATTAAACGATACAAACCAGATTATGGAGATTTAGATTTAGATCTAAAATCATTAGCAAGGTTGCTAGTTTTCAAACAACTATTAAATATCTTCCAGATTGGATTTGCACATTATGCTGCAAAATATTACAATATTTTAAACCATGGTTTGCTGACTATTTCACAGTTGCCTAGGTTCACACATAACACTAATTCAAACTACATTATAGCTAAAGAGGATGTGTGAGTCAAAAATTGTGAATCTATGCTCTTCTGTAACCTCTGACAGGAGGGAAGTTCAGAAGTAATGTTAGAAAGTATTACTTCACAGAAAGAGTAGTGGAAGTTTGAAACTAACTTCTAGCTAAAGAGAAAAACAAACAAACAAACTCAATGCGCCACTAGATCTTTTTCAGCTCTCAATTTTCTATGTTTCTATCTTGGAGGGAGAGTAGGTAAATATATATGAAATAAAAGAAGCATTACAGTCTTGTGCCCTGAAATTGCTAATATTGTGACAAGACTGTAGAGTTACTTGTGACATGCGTTTTGTTTCAAATTTTGTTTTAAAATAATTTTAAAAA